TGTGGGCCGCCCCGCGGGCAGGCTGCCGCTGGCCGCCCGCGGCAGCTCGCCTGGGCCGGGGCCGGGGCCGGGGCCGGGGCCGGCTTCCCCGAGCGCCGGGCGAGCGGGAGCGCCCCGCTGCTCATTCCAGCTCCCCGAGTCTGTAATTATCCGGCGCGCTCGGATGTGCTCCGACTTGCCCGCTCGCGCCTCGGGCTCCCGGCCCTCCTCCCCGCTCAGCCCCTTCCCCGCTCGCCTGCAACGCGGGCGCCCGAGGAAGGCAGCGCGCCGCCGAAAGCCCCTTCCCCGCGACTGCGAATCGGTCCGGAGGGGCAGCTGCGGGGCGGGCGGGGGGCGGCGAGGACGGGAACGGTGTCCGCGGCGCGCTGGGGCGGGATCCCCTTTCGACTGGATTCCGGGAGAGCCTTCCTTCTGGGGGGGAGGATTCTCCCGGCCCGCCGCCCCCCGCCGCACTCGGGGTCTCGCTGGATGGCATCCGCTTCTCTCTCGCTGCCCTTCAGGCGCCAGAGCCGCTTCGCCCCGGGCCGGGGCCCCGCGGGCTTCACCGCGGGATGACAGACACCGCGTGCCCCGAGCCCGTGCAGCTCCCCGCGCCCCTTCCAGCCCGCGCCGTGCAGCCGCCGCCGCCGCCGCCTCCTCTGCCGGCGAGGCGCGCACGGGCTGGGATCGTTGCCCTGCGCGCGCGGCTCCAGCCCCAGCCCGGGAGTCCGCTGGGGCCGGGGGGACGAAACCTCCCGTTCACCCTGCTGGCACTTACTCCAGAGTAGGCGGAGGCCTGCAAGCCTCCACACCTCGGATGGGTGGGTGCCTCCGTCCAGCGCTTAAGGGGCTGGTGGATCGGCGAGGAGCAGAGCGGCGCGCGCCCGGGAGGCTGAGGGGCTGGGCAGGGGGGCAGGAGCGAGGGACCCCCTGGAAGACCACCTTTTGACCGTGGCGGGAAAGAAGGGCCAGCCTTCGTGAAGCTTCCCTATCGCCAGGAGAAACGAAGAGAGCAGTTGCGGGGAGGCGGGGGGGGGGCAGAGGATTGGCGCCCCCGTTTCCTGAGCCGCTCGCAAAGACAGAGAGGGGCTTTGCCCGAGCGAAGGGCTCCGTCCACGCGCACGCGACCCGCAGCGGGACCTTCCGTCCCCACCGCCGGGCTCGGAGGGCGACGCCGTGTCGCCCGTGCGCGGCACCCGCGGCTTTCCGCCGCTCCTGGATCCCGTCTCTCCTCCTTCGGGAGCACGGAGACCGCTTCTCCCAGCCCCGCAGCAGCCTCGAGCGGCGCGCAGCCCCGCAACGGCTTCCCGACCGCTCTCTCCTCCCCCTTCCAGACACAAACCCGGCCCTTCACACGTTCTTTTCCCCTGCCCGGCCTTCTTTTCTCTTCTCCTTTTTGGAAAGAGAAATATTCCTCACCGGGGTGGGGGAATCCTCCCCTTCCTTTCCTTCCACATGACTAGCTGAAAATCACCTTGAAAAACTCGTGTCGACTTGTATCATTATCTATTTAATTCACTCAGTACCTTTTGTTCTTGGCAGAAGGAGGATCAAAGAGAGTTTTTTTGGTTTTTTTTTTTAAAAACAACTCTGATCTCTCTCTCTCCTTCTCTCTCACCCCCTCCCCACCTTTCCAGGTTTTTTCTTTCTTTTTTTTCCCTCTTTACAGTAGATCAGAGAACGGTAGATCAGGGCTAACCCAGTCAAAATAAACACAGCGCTTAGATAAATATAAGACGTAAAAATTCGAGTTCTTACCCCCCTCGAAGGAACCACAATTTCTCTCTCTCTCTCGCTTACAGAATAATAGAAAGGGGAAGCGTCTACCCCTCTGGAAAAAGCGGGCGTTAGAGGAAGAAGACGGCCACGGAAAGGGGGGGAATAACCCCGCACTCCCCAGATAATCAATCAATAAGGAAGTCCACTTACCACCAGATTGGATAACTCGATAAGACTTGCGTCACCCCACAAAGAAGCAAGACATATCCTATAGAGGCCATCGCGTCCCCCGAAAAGTTGGTCAAACTTTCAGTGCGGATGGGTGTTGGCGGTGGTCGATGGAAAAAACGCACGCGCGCACGCACGCCCCCGGGACAAAAAACCGGGCAAGTCTTCCAACTTCCTCTTCTCGGGTGCGGGGGAGGGGGGCAGAGAGAGTTCCCCACCCCCCCAAAATAAAATCAGCCCAGTCTAAACAGGTAGGTGTCTCTTAGTCCTTTCTGGTCCGCCTCCCTCGTTCACTCTCACGTCCCCCTCAAAGAGGACAGAAACGCATTACAAAAATCAGTATCAGAAAGGGGGTTGCCCTTTGGTTTTTCCGGCGGGGGGAAAGGGAAAAAATAGCCCTCTTCTCGCAGCCAAGAGACACTAAACATTTAGAAGAAGGGGAGAAAAAAAAAGTTTGAAGAAGCTTTGGAGAGACCCAATCAGCAGTAACCGCCACGGGGAAAATCGCGGAGAATTCTCTCCTATGCGTCAATCGAGAAACCCGGTGGAGGAGTGAGCTAATCACGGGGAGATCGAGTTTTAATAGTCATTAAGGACACGTTGGCCCGCAAACCCGACGATGGAAGGGGAGGGTGCGCAAAAGAAAAAAAAGAAAAAGAAAAAAAAAGGGCAGAGAAGAAAGGAACGGGGGGAGGAAAGGGAGTTTAAATAGGCTGGGGGGGATTTTCGCTCCCTGGGTAGAAGGAGCCACTAAAATGCTAAAAAGGGGGATCTACCCCCCCCCACCTCACCTATAAGATACGGGAACATTTAGGGCCGGGTCGTTTTTAAAGACCCAACTTCTCTTTGCGCCTTATGTAAATTTTACACTTGCGCTCATTGTAGGGTCGCAAAATTTAGAGTGTCTTTCTCTCACCGCCCCCCCCCCCGCCCCGCGCAGCCGGAGTGCTGGGGTTGTTTTAGATTTACATTTCAACAAAACAGAAGGGACTCGGGACATTTCCAGCCGAAGAGAGACTCGGAGTGACCCGTGTGTCTGGGAGGGGAGCTGTGGCCGCTTCTTCCTCGCTTACCCACAACTAACTCCCCCTCTTCAGATAGTACCAACACGGTAGTTGCTTTATAATTTGGATACAATAATTCATCGATCGCACCTTTTCTCACCGCTCCCCCCCCGACCCACAAATGTCTTTGCTTCCGAGGAGCAGGTGGAAGGCGCAGGCAGATTCGGCCCGATCCACAACCAGATTGAGCCGAGAGGGCAGCCCCCTCCGCATCCTTTGGCTTCACCCCCCACCCCACCCCTGGCAGCCATGCTAATATCTTCCAAGAAAAGGCTTCAAACCCTTCACCCCGCCCGGGCACAGTTTTTCGGGAATAATCAGCTGGTCTGACTCTTCTAAAAATTCTTGGCGCCGAGCTGCACGCGTGTTTGGGATCGCGGCGCTGACGGGCTTGCAGACGGAACTCGGTTTTACTCCGGATTCTTTGAGCTGAAGTGGCCGGGGGGCTCAGCTGGCCAGGGAGGGCCCGTTTCGTCCGAATGGGTCTTGGGAGGTCACACCCCGAATCTAGACGCATGCCATTCACACGGGCGCGCGTCCCCATAGATCTAAAGGGTGGTTCCCACGACTCCGGTCTTGCCCGGGAAAGCAGCCCCAATCCGGAGTGAAGTGAACGCCAGCTCCGCGCAACCTCACCTGCGCTCGGGAGGGGGCGGGGAAGAATCGGGGCCTTCCCTCCGCATTAGGGCTAGCAACTGGGGGTGAAGGCAGGTGCCTTCCCAGAGGTTCGGGGTTCCAGAGCCGGTTCCCCCGCAACCCCTTGCCGACGCCGTCTCTGGTTTGAATGACGCGCCAGGGAACTGATCCGGGTTTAGGGCGTCCGCACGGGCGAACCTGAGGGACCATCCCGGCCTCTGCGCACCTGCTCGGGAAGCGCTCACTGAGGTGAGCGGGGCTTCAGTCCCGATCCCCGAGGATGGGGTCGCAGCCTGGCCACAGGGTGCAACCCCCCCCCCCGCCCCCGGGACACGTCTGCGGAAAGATGTCGAGGCCGCAGAATGACAGAACCTGCTTTACACGTGCCGGGCACACGTCTGGAACGGGCATCAACCTGTCGGACTCGCACATCTTACCCACAGAACTTCTAAAAAGAGGACCCCCCCCCCGATTCAGCTGATGGAGCCGAGATGAGACGCTCCTACCCAAAGCGGAGTTCTGCCGGATAATAAAAGCGGGGTTCGGTTTTGGGGAGGGGGCTCACATGAGCCTAACCTCCACCCCATCGCTTTGATTCTAACAGACACCCGTATATAGAGGAGGAAAGATACCCACGAAAAAGGAAACGTCTTCATTCAACCATCACCCCCCCCCAAAGAAAAACCAATTAAAACCCCAAAACTTTCCTTTTTGTTGTTTGCTGGGCGTTAGACAAAGAGGTGTGGGGGCGGCGGCGGCGCATTTGTCTCAGCCCTAGAAGAAATCCCTTCCCTCTTGCCGCCCCCTCCCCTCCCCTGCCCCCCCCTCCCGCGCCACTTCTGGGCCCTAAGCAGGAGCTCCGCTCGGATGAGCTCCCATCGCAGGAGACCCTCGCAGCCTGCAAGGAAGCCCCCCCGGATTCGAGGGGGTTAGCTCGCCTGCAAGCCTGCAGGCCGTCTGAGAAACGCCACCCGCGCCCCCACCCTCCAGAATGCAGAAATAGGGTTTCCGTAAGCGGGTAACGTGGGGAGCGCAGCCCGAGAGCGCGTGTTGCGGTCCGCAGCCCCCACCCCCCCCACCGCGCGTCGCGAATTTTTGGGGGGTGCAATTTCGGCCCGTATCGCCTCCCATGGGGCCAGGAGACGTCCTCTGGGTGCGCGCCGCAGCCCTTCCCAGCGTAGATTGAGATTTTAAATGAAATTAATTTGCTTGTTCCTTTCAGCCTTCTGAGATCTCTATCCACGACTTCCTGAAGGCTTCAGCTGCACGCATGTTGCGTATAATACTGGGTTTTATCTATACCATCTATATGTATATGCATAATCTATAATAGGCTCAGTGAGCTGGCTGGAATCCTAAATACGCCCAATTCGCTTCACACTCCGATTCAATGTGAACGAGTTTACCTTGGGAATGAGGGAAATTCCTTGAAATTTTCCCACCGCCTGAAGCCCTATGCAACGCATGCGCACTTATTGGCTTTTACTCCCGAGGAGACGCAGCTCCGCTTTAGATCGTCCGGTCCTTCAGCGCGGCCCAATTCGAAGTGGGTCCGTTGAAATCGGTGGGACCGGGCTAGCGACTCCCATCGAGTTCAACCAGGCTCTCTTTACTAGCTCAGGGTTCAAACCAATGGGGCTCAGTGCCTAGAAAAATTCTTTTAGGGATGTGCCCGACAGGGGAAGATTCCGCTGCAGGCTGGTCCGGATTCAATCTGGTTTCAAACCGAGGATGCCTGGTTTCAATCGGTGTGCCCCCCCCTCCTCCCCGCTTCTATTTCAATGGGCTGGGGATTCAGATCTGCAGCCGTGCCGTCTAGATGTCCTTGTCTCGGCAGTCTGTGCTTACGACCCCCTCCCCCAATTTGGGACTGACAAATGCGCGCACCTTTCAGAAGAGCCCCCCACAAACTCCAGGCCTCTCCCCCTTCCCAGTCTCTACTGGATCCCAAGAGCCAGGAGGATCTGATCTAAGTGGGGGGGGGGGGCACTGTGGGAAGGAGGAGGTAAAAGGTAAAGGTTTCCCCGTGGCATTAAAGTCCAGCCATGGCTGACTCTTGGGGGCGGTGGTCAACGCTGTTCCCCAACGCGTTTGTCCCCGAACATTTCCGTGCTCATGTGGCCGGCATGGCTAAACACCGAAGCGCACGGGACGCTGCTACCTGCCCGCCGAAGGGGTACCTTTTTACCTACTTGCCTTTGCATGCTTTTGAGCTGCAAGGGAGGAGGAGGAGGAGGAGGAAGATGGAAGAGAGCGAAGCGGGAGGGGCGAAGTGATGCGGGCGCGGAAAGAGCGCCGAGCACCCCAGGACTTTCCCTCCGCATTAGGTGAAAATCCCGGGCAATTTTAGCATTACAGGCGACTAAGCCCGTTCAAAGGCGAGGGATTTTCACAGCCTTTCCCATGGAAATTGCCTCTTGTTCAGGCTGAAATGCGCGCACCCAAACACGCGTCCTGCTAATACACAAGCAGAGAGAGGGGGGCAGAAAGGAGGGGCGCCCGGCCTCCCGGCAGGCCAGCGAGACAGCCGGCTGGCTGCTGGTGTGGGGGTGTCTCCATCCCCCCTCGGCAGGCGGGGGGGGATGCGTCTTGAGTCCCCCCCCCCCGGCCTGCGAGGTCTCTTCAGCACCCTTTTCAAGCCCTTCTGAAAACCGATGGGGCGCCTCGGGGTTTGGAAGCCAGCCAAGAAACCAGGAGTCATTTGCAGAACAGCAGCTCCGGGGCTGGACGATTTAGGCTCACCCAGGCTAAACCTGAGCTGCTAGTACCTGGCCGGGTGCCTGGAAGGGCTTGAACTTGGCACTTTATGTGCCACGCGCTGGGAGGTGAGACCCTCTGGGCTCAGCGGGTGCCCCCACTCTTCGTCCTGCTCAGAGCAGACCCCTGAAGCAAAGGGGACTTGCTTAGCACGTGGTGCGCCCTAGTGGAATCAGTTCCTGGAGAAAAATACTTAAAACTGGGCCGCAGCTTGCCCTCTTATTCCCGTTAACAGCAACCTGTTCTGCTCATCTTGGGGAAACCGGATTATTTCCACCAAGAGGGGCGTCACATCGCTTCCTAGCGATGACCTCAGCTTGCGAAGATCTTTTTGCTGAGAGGAATGCTGGTGTTGCTTTTTAAGGACTACCCTCTGTCCTCACCCCGGGAACGCCTGATCCACCAGGCAACGCTGCTCCAAGGGGCCTCCTGGTCTCAGGGTGGCCCTGGGGCCTTTGTTCTCCAGGAAGGCTCAGGAATCCACAAGACCTACTTGCAGGACGAGTGTTTACAGCGGGGGTGCGGAAGCCACAAGGGGGAGCCCCTTCCTGAGAGCCTCTCTGGGGCTGCATTCCAGGCCTAGGCGGCCCCTGCAG